GCGTTTCATTATTCTGATTAAGCGGTTGTTCTTTATATTAGCATGGGTTAGCATTTAAAGGCCAGGCTCTAACAGTGGCATTAGTCGTGCAGTAAATATTAATCATAAATAATAATAATAATAATAATAAGAGATCGCGCTCGTTTGAGATTCTGACACATTTATGGACATTGTTATCCTCAGAACAGGTAATCTGTGTTCATTTATATACATGAAATGTTCATTTATTACCGTGGAACATTTTGACAGACCCACCACTCGGTTTGTCAGGCAGATTTAATTAATGTCGTAAATATGCGCAATCTGTTTTATAATATGGCATTACGTGCATATTTAATGAAGCGTATGTTTGTTTAAATGGGTCACCAATCGATTCATTGATTAAAGAGAAACTATAGCCTGTTAAATAAAATGAAAACAAAGTTTATTACTGAAGCTTGTGTAGCGACTATTGGAGAACATTCAGCAGGGAAATGCTCTTATTTTCCCTCTTCAGGGTTCCTCGTCGCATCTTGTTTCCTTGTTTGTGGAAATAATTAATATTTTTCTTCTCCTCAATGAAACACAAAGGGACATTTGCAGCATTGCCAGAAATAATAACTTCATGGGGTCTTTTTAAATGTTATATTCAGTCATATTTATTTGCATTTGGGAACATTTGATCTTATGAAGTGGTAAAGTGTGGCCATGTATATACAAATAACATGTCTGCATGCATAAAAGTGTATGAAACTTTTTATACACACAATTTTAATATTTTGGACAGTGCTCAATGGCTTGGTTGTCAAATTTGAGATTAAATTAAGGAGAAAATAGTTTAGTTGCACGCTGTAAATATGATTTTTAAAAGGAATATTAAAACTGAATGTCATGTTTACTTGCATAACTTGTTTATTGAAAGTGTGTGTGTGTGTGTGTGTGTGTGTGTGTGTGTGTGTAATTTGGTTTTCTACATCAAAATCGGTGTATTCATTTAACTAATTACACGTGTTGAGCATTTTGAGTCCTTTGAGTAGCATTTTATAGATCGTTTTCTCTTTAAAATTTTGCATAGAGATTTAATTTGGTAGGGTGGCACGGTGGCTCAGTGGTAAGCACTGTGTCCTAACAGCAAGAAGGTCTCTGTTTTGAGTCCCAGCTGGGTCACTTGCTGTTTCTGTGTGGTTAGGGTTAGGAGTCTTAAACACGTGCACTATAGGGGAATTGATCAACTACATTGGCCATAGTGTATAAGTGTATGAGTGTGTGTGTGTGTGTGTGTGTGTGTGTGTGTGTGTGTGTGTGTGTGTGTGTGTGTGTGTGTGTGAGAATGAGTGTGTATGGGTGTTTCCCAGTACTGGGTTGTGGCTGGAACGGCATCCGCTGTGTAAAACATGCTGAAATAGTTGGCGGTTCATTCTGCTGTGGTGACCCCTAATAAATAAGGGACTAAGCCAAAGGAAAATGAATGAATTTAGTTTGGCATAATGAAATATCTTCAAATGAGACTGCTGAATATTAAGTAGGGGCGGGGCTTTATTAAAATAACCAGATCAGATCAGAGAGGGCGTGGCTAATCACCGCCTTTCCAGAGCAGAAGCAGATTTTGAGTAAAGATTAATAAAACAAACTCAGATTAATTGTTCACTTTAAGACTAATAATGTGCGCTAGCAAAATAAATAAGACACATTTAGAGTTCAGGCTTAAATTGAAAAACAAACAGTATTTTGTCCACAATAGGCTTGTTGTGGTGAAAATAAATACATTTCTGATGGTTCAGAATGAGGTTTCTTGCATTAAAGGAACAGTTTACTACAAAATAATAACATTTTATCATCATTTACTTCATCCCTGACTGATTCCAAAACATTTTGAGTAGTTTTTTGTTCTGTTGAACACAAAAGAGGACATTTCAAAATAATAAAATATCTTGTTTTGTGTTCAACAGAAGAAAGACTCAAAAGGTACAATTTTAGTGTGAACTGACCCTTTAAAACCCAGGCCATGGCTACAACTCTCCAAAAAAAAAAAGATATAAAGAATAAACACGTTTTGTTTTTGAGAACTGAAGCCATGACCTGTGTTTTAAAGGGTCAGTTCACACTAAAATTTACTTCTGTCATTCTTCACTTGTTGCAAACCAGTTTAAGTTTATTTACTCTGTTGAACACAAGACAAGATATTTTTATATTTTTACTGCAAAATATGATATTTAGAGATCAACAGAATCAGGAAACTCATAAGGGTTTGAAACCACTTGAGGGAGAGTGATTTTTGGGTGAACTGTCCCTTTAAGAGACAGAAAAGTCGAAGACCTGAAGTAACATAAAACTGTTAACTTGATCTAACTTAATTTCTGTACTTATGCACACAGTCATTTACTTCATCATTTTAATGCAACATGGCGGCTCAGTGGTTCACACTGTGGCCTCACAGCCAGAAGGTTGCTGGTTTGAGTCTCGGCTGGGTCAGTGTGTGTTTCTGTGTGGAGTTTGCATGTTCTCCCCATGTTGGCATGGGGTTCCTCCGGTTTCAGTCCAAACACATGCGCTATAGGGGAACTGATCAACTACACTGGCCGTAGTGTATGAGTGTGTGTGTGAATGAGTGTGTATGGGTGTTTTCCAGTACTGCATTGCAGCCTAAAAAGGCATCTGATGCATAAATGTTGGAATAGTTTTTGGTTCATTCCGCTGTGTCAACCCCTGATGAATAAAGAGACTAAGCCAAAGGAGGATGAATGTAGTTAAATACATCTCATTTGTAATCTCCCCTGTGTGTGTGATTAATGTGTGTGTTGTGTTCCCGCAGATGCACGAGTCAAATGATGTTAGTGAACATGCGTGAGTTCTGATTGGTTGAAACATGGAGCCGAAAGCCGACTGCTGTCCGTCATCGGTGCCGAGCTCTCAGCGGGATCTGCAGCTCCACATCTACGAGACCATCAGCGAAGGAAATGTCAATAAGCTGGAGAACTCGGCGCTGGTGCGGGCGGGCAGCGACCCCAGCTCGTATCCCTCGTCCAGACGCCAGAGATTCATCCGCCGGAGCCTGTGGTTTACTGAAAATGACGAATCGCAGCCGGATGAGTGTGTGCCGGAGTCTGAACAGCACAATAAAATACTGAGCATCGACCTGCGCACCATCGTGGACCGAACACGCTCCGGTCTGCAGGCAAGGAGATTTCAGTGTTCAGTTACAGTGCAAACCAGATCTATTCAGAAGAGGGCGGAGCTACAGACGGCTCTGCGACAGATGTGAAACAGCAGTGTGTGTGTGTGCTTCAGTGTGAGTGTGTGTGTGATGTGGCTCCTGTCTCTGTTCATCTAGAACTCCACATCTATAATCTACTTAGTCTATGCTGACATCATCTTCAGCAGCTCAAACACGCTAATGGACAGACGGCTGCTTCTCACTCAGGCCTGCTGGACATGCTAATGAGATGGGCACTAGTGGGCGGGGCTATCCCCCTCTGATGACACATACACAAGGAGAATGTCAATCAAAGTGTTTCTGCATCAAGTCTGATTATAACAAACACAGTTCAGTACTGCTGAGCATTGCTGGAGACACACACACACACACACACACACACACACACTTATAAATGTGAGTTTTGCATAACAGGTGTATTGGTTACAGGATGGGTCGAGTTCGGAGAGCCAGAAGGGTCAGAAAGCTGCAGAAGAGCAGCAGGAGCAAGCAGACCCTAAAGCGGACGCTACTGACGGGCCGAAAGCGAATCTGAAGTCTGCCAGCGAGGATAACGAGGAGGAGGCGGAGATGAAGGCGGTGGCCACGTCTCCCGGCGGACGATTCCTCAAGTTCGACATCGAGATCGGCCGCGGATCCTTCAAGACCGTCTATAAGGGCCTGGACACGGACACCTGGGTGGAGGTCGCCTGGTGTGAGCTGCAGGTGTGTATCCTGCTGGACTGGCATGTGTAGTGTGCATGTGTGTGTGTTGGTGTGACCTCATGGGAAAGCTAGGTTGCTTCAGGGCAGGGGTGTCCAATCTCGGTCATGGTGTCCTGCAAAGTTTAGTTCCAACCCCAATCAGACACACCTGGGCCAGCTACCCAAGCTCTTACTAGGCAGAAACATTCTTGCAGGTGTGTTGAGGCAAGTTGAAGCTAAAATCTGCAGGTAACCAGACCTCCAGGACCGAGCTCGGACACCGCTGCTTTAGGGAGTGGTCAGCAGGGGGAGCTCAACCTGTGGTCTGTGTGAGTCCTAATGCCCCAGTATAGTGAAGGGGACTCTATACTGTCAGTGAGTGTCGTCTTTCAGATGAGCTGTTAACCTGAGCTCCTGACTCTCTGTGCTCATCAATAACCCCATGGCACTTCTGGTAAAGAGCAGGGGTGTAACCCCAGTGGCCAAACTCCCTCAATCAGCCCTCACCCATCATGGCCCAGTCATCCCCATCCACTGATTGGCTCCATCACTGTCTCTCCACTCCCCCTATAGCTGGTGTGTGGTGAAGCCCTGGCGCTGGTGTCCTGTGGCTCCCAGAGCATCATCCAAGTGGAGCTGCACACTGGTGGTGGTATGGAGAGACCCCCCTCATGATGGTGAAGCTCTTTGGGTGTACGGCCATACATGATAAATGCACTGTATAAACACACATTACATTACATTGTGTGTGTGTGTGTGTGTGTGTTTGTGTGTGTGTGTGTGTGTGTGTGTTTGTTGCGCTCGTGTTTGTGTCTTCAATCTGGCAACCTGTGCATTGGAGGCTGTGTTACGGCGACACATGGATCAAGCACTCAGTGTTAATCCTACACCCTGCCTTGGTTTCATGATCCTAATCCAGAATCCACAGTAAAGTCAGTGCAGGTGTTTTGTTCATCTGCTTGATTTCAGTGATGTGCTAAGCAGTATTTCACAGAGCTTTTTTTTTATTTATTTATCGTGAACTATTGTGAACTACAGCGGGGGAAATAAGCATTGAACACGTTGTCATGTTTTCCTGGGATTAATCTCTCTGAAGGAGCTGCTGACATGGAATTGAATCAGATTTGAGTAAAAACCCAAACAATACAAACAAACAAAAATAAAACAAAACAAAAGAGCTGAACTACTGAAGTGTGTTTAATACTTGTATATAAAGGCTTCTGTGGTGCTGCAGCTTAAAGACTGGAGAATGAAGCCTCCTGCAGTGCTCAGGTGTGAGTTTCTCTCAGTCTTCATCAGAGGTTGTAAATCTTGCTGCTTCTGTGGGTCTCCTCTATCAGATCTGAGCTGTATTCTGTATTCTCTATTGTATTGGGATCAGGTGATTGGCTGAGCCATTCTACAGCTTGATTTTCTCTCTCTGAAAGAGAGTCTCCTCGGCTGTGTTGTGGATCATCGTCCTGCTGAATGGTTTGATCTTCATCCTCCTGCTGATGTAGATGTTGGACTGAAGCAGCTGATCTTCATTGACACTGAGGAAGGGCAGAGGCTTGCTGAAGAACTACTGAGAGATTCAGCTGCTGTCTGGGCTTTCACTGCACAACTACACCCCCCTTTCTTCATGTGTTTAACACTGTTTGTTGCATAACTTCATTTGTAAACTAATTAGATTTGTTTTATCTGCATATGTGGATTTTTTTTGTTACCAACATCTGGGGACAATTTGAAGTCAACGGCACCTTTAGAAAGATGTTTTCTGAGAGAAACGGTGACATGTTCAATACTTATTTCCCCCACTGAAGATCACATTATGCACTTTTGTGATATTTCCATATTCAATATATTACACAGCACGGTAAAATCATGTGTTCATGAAGAAGAACTGTCGAGTATAGTGAATGTAGAGCCCTCATGTGTAACCTGTCCTGTGTGTGTGTGTGCGCATGTGTGTGTGTGTGTGTGTGTGTGTGTGTGTGTGTGTGTGGGTGT